GATGAACTAGATTTTGTTTACCTACCTTTTAGCCCACATATGCTCAATTAGGTTTTGGAATTTGATTAACTGAAGTTGTCTTCTATTTTCATGTAGATCTTGGATTTCACAAGCATAACTCAGTAGATTTTGGATTTCACTAGTCTTCCAAGCCCAACCCGTTCGATTCTGATGATGAATCCGACAACAAACATACCCGCCGCATATGAACACCTTTCTTCTCAACAAAGTCGTCAGAATCGTCAATCCAACCATGCGTTGAAGTGTTGTTTTGTGGACAAGCCTTAGCAAACGTAGCTTCTATGGTCATATAATCGTGGACTTCAGTTATGTGGACTTCAGTTATGTGGATTGCACTTCTTGGATAAAACGAGTTCCAGAGATCAAATGTCATATTTTGGTTGATTTTGAAATCTGTTTTGGATAGTCTATAGCTAGAAATGCATGTGCAGTGTCATAGTTTTCCTTTGATCAATCATACATGTTCATTTGTATTTTTTATGCTTAACCGGTTTTCTTTTTTTGCTTTAGCTCAATTTTAGTTTGTGAAGATTTTTTTTTTTGGTTTGAGGTTTGAAATTATACGACCATTTGTCTCTATTTGTTTTGTGGACTTGATTTGATTCACGTTATATTGATTTTTCCATTGAAGTTGGTCAGAGATACAATAGTTTCATGTTGGATGATAGTAGATGCATAAACCTACGTAGGTTTATTACACTTTTTTTAATTTATTGGTTTGAATCTGTAGAATTTGTGTTTATTGGTGTGACATCAGTTTTATACATAAGTTCCTCTTTGTATGGATGAAGAATTATGAATGTGGTAATGTGGATGCCTAAACGTGCCTCTTTGTATAAACCAGTTTATGGACTTGATTTTATGGATATGGAGAATGAAATACTCTATATTCTTGAGAGCCAGTTGTAAAAAAAACTCATAGATAGACAATGCCTATTTGAATAAACCATTTTACAAACAAATTTGTTTGGTTTATGGTGATTTTTGTGCAAAAAAATGTCGATTATGGTACCGTATAACTGAAGTCCACAACACCAAGTCTTTAGCTTTTTCTCAGGAAAACAAAAAACTTGAATGTTCAAGACAACAAAAGTCAAAAGAAAAAAAAAACACAAACCAAAGTACGACATCCATGTGGACAACGCTTGGTGAATGAGATGTAAGATATCCATGTAGAAAACACTAGCTTGGTGAATGAGCTTAAGAACAACACAAGAACTTTTAAGACAATATTTTCTTCATATCGATTCTGCAATGGACTAGATGCTTTAAATACACAAAACATAGCTAACTCCTAAGAACATGAAACGTCGGCAACGAAACACATTCCCACTACATGTTTGGCCACGTCATCTTCTTCCTCTAGTTTTTGGCCACTAAATGTTGAAACCGATCAGTGAAGCTAGAAGAATCCACAAACCAAGATTAAGGATGCTTTGAATCGTCCCTTGTTGAATGTACACTGAATCTTCCTCAATTGTATGCTCACTGTTCTTATAAACCCAGAAACCTTTGCTTTTATATGACTGAAAACATTACCATTCGAACCAATGGTTCATGTATTCATGAACCAAATTATAAAAACGTGAAAATGGACATGGTAATAGGTATACCAAACAATCTTTCCCCGAACACATGGTCAAGATTAACATATCCATAGATACTTGAACAATCTTTAGTTCACTATACAATATCCATAGATACTTGAACAAATATTGTTTTAAGGAAAAAAACATTAACCATTCAAGGGAATATGAACACATGAAAGCCTTACATTAAAAAACTACAACACAAACATTCTAACTGATGGCCATCCATGATCTTTATCATTAGTTTTCACATCAGCTACATCACATCCACCACATCGTAACCATCGAACTGTTGCCACCGCATCGCACCCACCAAATCACATCACAACTACAACATCCACCACATCGTATCCACCATATCGCATCCACCACATCGTATCCACCGTATCGCATCCACCACATTGTTTCACATTCACCGTATCAAATCCACAGCAAAAAGTTAAAATCTTGTTTAAGAATCCAGAAATCAATGTAGTTTAAGTAAAAAATCCAGAAAATAAAAGAATCTCTTACTCTTGTTTTGAGGTATTAGATTCCGTTTCCCCCAAAGAGAACAAAACGACGTATGGAGAAATTGATTTTACACAAGATTTAATTTGTATCGACTCTCTCAAAAATGATTGAAATTGAACTCTAATGTTTTGATTTTTATGATGCAGGAATCATGACCGTCGCATGTGAAGCCGACCGGCTAAGAAACAGAGGAGATATATATATTTTTTTGGTGGCCAGAGTAGATATTTTTGCTCCAGATAAAAATGGAGAAAATGAAAGAAGAAGATGAAAGAAGAAGATGAAAGATAAACAACTTCAGATCTAGAGAAACAACACATACCTCTCAGTTTTGGTTTGAGAGAGAGAGAGAGGGAGAGAAAAAGGTAGAGGGTGAAAGAGAAAAAGCGAGACAGTGAGAGAGAGAGAAAAAGAAAATGACTCTAATTGTTCATTTCTCATATTAATCTTAGGATTATTCCTAGCCACAAGATTCTCAAATATTTAGTTACTAACGTATGGTTGAAAGTTAAAGCTTTATAATTGTTTCTGATAAGCTTTCAAAAACTTAACTAAGGTTGTTTTTGTCAGAAATTAATATGTACAGTACAAAAGAGAGCAAAAAACGGTGCCACAAACCCAAAGGGTGTTAAACTGAAACGAAAGATACATAAACGGTGTCTCTATGTAACTTTCTCTAATTATAATACTGTAGTTGTATTACTTAATGATTGCTAAATATATATCCATACTTAAGCCAATTTGGAGTAGTATGCCTTCTGTTCTAGGTAACAGTTATAGCTCTCTTTCAAAAAAAAAAAAAAAAAGATCAATACAACAACAAATACTACACTCAGATTTATTGCTAAAGGTATCGGTATCAACTATCAAGATCGAAACTCCCTGCGGATAAACAAAGGAATCGTTATGTGTAGATCTTGACCCGTAAACTCGTGTGACATAATAAAACATTTTCGTTGTATTATGCGTATAATTGGATACACTACAAACTCGAGTGGAACAAGTCATAAAACTTAGTCGGCATTGTATGTATATATACTAGGGTAAGTAAAAACAAACGTATACTTACACACGTACAATATGATATGTGTAAGCGTGGTGTGGATAGATTGAGAGAGCGGGTTAAAAAGAAAACAAAGAGTGATGGAGATATATCGAAGAAATGGTTAAAAATACAGTGAATAAAAGTTTTTGACAAGTAAGGGTCTCATCATCAATAGACATTCGAGAAAGGGTCTTTATGTTCATTACCTTGAGATCCGCACTTTTTTTTACATATACACTTTCATCTTTTCATTGGAACTTTTGTTTTTATATGTTTTTCCTTTTTGTTACATTCTCATTCTCATAATAAACATGCACGGTTCATATATATGTTTACTGAACATTTTCTTTTATTTACAGTCTTTTCATCACCATAACCCAGCTGTAGAATAGTGGAGTCATCAATCATAATTATATTAGAGAAGTTGAAAAAGCTTTGTTGGGAATTCGGAATCTGATATTATGATCAATGAATTGAATTGGGGCAGAGAGAATACGAACAAAGAAAGAGGGGGGAGCATTAAATGCTCTTCTTGTCTTCTCTCTTTCCCTAATTTCAATGCTACCCCCTCCCTCGGGGATCCTCTAGCTATTTAGAAATGCTAATTGCTTTTTGGTCAATTAGGTTTGGTGTTTAGTCCTTGAATACATCACATGCGTACAATACATAAAAGAAACGGTCGCGAAAAAACAATTTAAACAAAAGTCGTCGTAGTGCTTATACATTAGTCAAAGAATTGACATAAACACTTTTACTTTTCGGGAATTATTATATAATTATTTAAGAGTATGCAAATTGAATGATTTATGTAAATCTATTACGTTGCAGATCAAAATTTAAGTATTCGTAGATTGTAAACAAAAGAAAAAGTTATACAATACCAATGAAATAAAGAAATTATTAAAATTGGACTATTAATGTATATGTTTACAGCAGAAAGTTCTGAGGATTTACAATTTACGAGTGTAAATTGAATAGAGTACTGGACCAGAAAAAAGTGTTTGGTTGACCGGTCTTTTTAGTTTATTTCTATGTGGAGAAATAAACATTTATTCCTTTTAGGTTAAAAAATAAACCTAACAACAGAATATATAAAGAAGAAATATGACTTATTACTGATCAGAACTTAAAATATATATTACTCCACTAGTAGAGATTAATTAGATTTGAAGGCCGATTTGTGTTTTTTTATACTATTACGTTTCATAAAGGAATGTAAGAATGGACAACGTGGGTTCGGATATGCAGGGATTTGACATTTTTTACGTCGTCCTCGTCTCTCTCTCTCGCTCTCTCTCGGACACAACACAAAACACAACTCTCGAAGACTGTCAACAAAAAACGTTGAAATCTGGAGCCAGAATCGTCTTCTCCATTTGTCATTCTCATCCACAGTTTCTACTTATTTTCTTATCTACGTGGACATTAAAAAAAAATTCATTAGATTTCTTCTTCTTTGGACACTAGTAAACCTAAACAAAAATGTTGCAGCACTTGTCGCGGGCACTCTCTACTGCTAGCTTTCAATTCTGGAATCATTTATAAATTTATTTAAGAGAAATAATATCTCTATGTTTTTTATTTATTTTCTAGTGGTGGTTGTGTACCATATTCCATATATATATATATATGCATTTTACAAAATATAAATAAAGATAACGACATATCAAAAATGTGAATGCACCCACACAACACAAACACATCGTTCCATATACATGTTTCCATACACTAACGAAGATTCTTTTGTTTCGGTAATCTAATTAGGGTTTCTCACTCATATAAGTATATACATTATCCCAGCTGGCTGAGTGATGAATTAGCTTTAATTTGAAAACGTGAATTACTAAAGCAAAATTTTAAATAAACAAAACAAAAGTTGGTACTAATTAGTTGACTTAAAAGGGAGTCACATAACTTTATTTCAAAAGCGATTCATAGAAAAGTGAGTTTGCATACTCCTTTTCTCTTCCCCGTTTTTAGCGTTACAAAGTTTATATTATGTTCATACAGTACTAATGTACTATATACAACTAGTCTACTGTATAAACAACTAAAAAGTAGACTAGTTGTATATAGTACTGTATGAACATAACATATATACGTACGTACTAAAACATATTTTCTGATAACGGGAAAAGGAAAGATAGATTACAGAGAGAAAAAGAAAAGATCTGAGCTTAATAATTGCGTAAGAGAGAACAATTAAAACTGCCAGTTTCATTAAAAGGTGACACTTTTGCGTGAAAACAATGCACACACAGATTTAAAAAATCTCTCTCAAAATAAGAGAGTATTAATTACTTTGTTGATTTGATTTACATAAGTATATATTATTGCTTTTCCTTTTTTCCTCGTTTGACCGGAAACGTTTAATTTAACCGTTATAGAATGACTTCATCATCTCCGTTACATTCTTCTCACCCGTTTTTTTTTCCTCTTTTTTTCTCCGAATATACGAAAATATAATTACGTAAAACTTTATGACCCGAGTCAAAGATTAAATAAGTTCCTTCACTTGGTACATTTTGAAGCCAAAAAAGAAAGAGAAAAAAAAGTCAATAGGAAAGGGTATGAAAAAGGTAGAGACTTTGACTTAAAAAACCAAAAAGAAAGATAAAAGAGTCGCCGAGGGACATGGGCCAACGTTTGGAGGAGTTTAGACAACCCATGTTTACCATTTCCACCACCCCTATCTCCGACTTCAAACTTACGATGAATCAAAAAACTTAATTAATCAATGGATATTAAAAAAAAAACATACATGGCTGATATAACCTCGAGTTGTCGATAAAAACGTATTTAACATAAATAACTCGTAAAATGATTACGTTAAGTTTGTAAGAAAATAATATTATAGTCTAAGATGGTGGTATATGACTATATTCTTGTTTTTTTGGTATATGATTATTTACGAATTCGTCTTATTACTTTAAAAAGTGAACAGATGATCCCTTTGTATATACCAAATTCATGCATTAGGATACATACAAGTAAAACAAAAGGGTTTATGATACAATTTGAAATGAAACGGACGATTTCAATAAAAGCTAAAGCAGAGTAAAACAAAAATACTAAAAAAAAAAAAAAAAAAAGGGGTGAGAGACAATAAATGGAGAATGCTAAAAAATATTGGGCAGATCAATATAACTCAACCACTCCTCTGACTAACTTTTATAGTCACTCACTCCTTTTCGATTCCCTTTTCCCATTTCTCTCAGATTTACGTTTTATTTCTCGGATTTCTTTTAGTTAAAATATTATTTGTAGTATTTACAATTTTGTGATTTGTAGCCTTTTGTACTTTTCCTACTTGTTCATTTCTCTTTTCACCTCGGGCTCGCTCTTACGCGGTTCCTCAAGTTTCATTTCATCATTAGTTTATATTCTGGATGACCCCATAGACATAGAGCTCAATATATTAATTTGTTTGGGTATAATATAGTTGTGGACAAATCAATTAGGGATAGTGTTGGCTTCTCCATTTTTGCAAGCGATAATACAAATTCGAGGCTGTAAAATGTTGGTTGGAGTAAGATAAAAGTTAATAGTAAAAAAACTATACTCGCTTATCTCCTATTGGAATGAAATTAATTGGTTGAAAAATGGTTTTGTCAAACATTTTTATCCTATAATATATAGTTTCACTACTTCTTTCTGTTTTGACATAGATATAAAAGTATTAATAGTCGTCTTCCGTTTCTAAAAATAAATAAATTCTTCAATCAAATAAATAATTAATCATGATCAACTTTTCAATTTTAGATCCGCGTTAATAGCATATATTCCGTACATTTTGTCGTTATATGTACCGTTTGTTACGCCGACATAATTTTAAACTAAATTAACAAATTTGGACCTATTTCTAGGAATGCATAAAGTTGGTTTTTGTACTGAATCAGGTTGAAAAAAATGTTATTATGAAAAAAAAAAAGAAAACAAGAAATTTGACATATGAATAGGATCCATATTACAAAATATTGAACATGACCGTAATTTAATTGGTTTTGCTACAGCTAAACCGTACCCCAATATATATAACATTTAGCTAGCCATCTAAAATTTTCTAAACTAAAGAAGAAGTATAATTACGTAAGTAAGTAGATAAAGAACGTTGGAAGTAGGCTGAAAATAGAATTAGTAGAGGGGATGGGAAGTTAGATTTTATTTTTGCTTGAACAAGTAATAACATAGTAAATGGGAATCCAGTGACATGTCTCAAAAAGTAAATCCAATGTTTGTTTGTTTTTATTTTTTTACTGCAAGAGTCTTGAAACTTGAAAAGCCATACACACACACACATACACATACTTGTGTAATTATTTATGTATTTGCAAGAGAGAGCGCGTGGGACCAGAGACACCCATGTTTCTTGTCTTGTACTATTAGCTTTCTTTGGCTCTCTCTCCACTACTCTCAATTTTCTTCATAAAAACCCCCCCACTCTTATTTATTTCCTCTCATTCTCTCTTCCATCATCACCACTCACTTATCCTTCCCCTCTCCATCTCTCTCTGCTTCTCCCTTGATCTTAGCCGGGTCTCGTGGGGGACTAAAACACAGAGAGCGAGAGAGATATATATATAAAGATATATAATCACCCACAAACCCTAGCTAGGTACTATATTCAAAGAAGGGGCTTTCTCTTTTGAGGGGAATGTTGTCTGGCTCGAGGACTCTGGCTCGCTCTTTTCATGTTTTGGATCTTCTTCGATCTAATCTTTGAACTGAACCTCCAGATTTCAGATCTGATCTGATTAGGGTTTTAGTGTCGTCGGACCAGGCTTCATTCCCCCCAATTGTTGCTCCATGATTATAATTACTACTTCCTCCTGCTTGCTTCTCAATTTAGGGTTTTCAGATCCCTTTATTTGAACCCATGTTCAAAGGTTTGATCTTTCTACCTTCCTTTCTCGGATTCACTTCCATGCGTTATTTCTTGTTTGCATGAAAAAAAGTTAAATGGGTCTTTTGGACCGGAGAAAAAGAAAAAGAAAAAAGATTTTCAGGTTTTTGCAGATTGGTGTAATGATGAAAGAATCTGACTTTCTTTCTCCTCTTGGAATCTGAAAAGTTTCATCATTACAACCTTTTTCTGCATGTGTTTATATATTTTTTCAAGGCTGCTATGATTTTGCTATGATTGTTTCTTTCTTTTTTTTGTCAGGAAGAATTAAGTTATAAGGTTGGATCTTCATGGTCATGAATGATGATGACGATGATAGTTTTAGTTTCAGATCTCTCTGTCTCTTCATTATTAGCTTACTATAGATCTACTAGATTTGAGTCTTGAACTATTTATGACACAACTAGGGTTTTCCAGATTCTTGTTAATTATATAACTTCTGAAATTGATTAAGAAGCTACATATTACCTAAGATTTTGATACAATATTGCATTTCTTTTCTTATATGTAAGGGAAACTTCTGCAGTTGCTTTTGCATGGGTAGGTCAAGAGCTTGAATTTGGACTTCTTAAATTTCCTCGCATTCTAAAAATGTATTTAATGAGTGAGCTAATACTAATAGAATATGATCTATATATCGTTATATGACTTAATTTTATATTGTATGGTATATAAATTTTCGTAGAGTAGTGGACAAATCCTTAACTATATATATGCATCTTTAGATATTTCGCTTGTGTGATGAAAAATCTCCAAACTAGCTAGGTAGAGTTATATTCTTGAAATCATCTTATCCAATTACTCAATGTACGATGAACCGCCTTCCAGATATTTTCTAAACAGAAGAAGTCAACCATGAACAACTTAACCGAGAGATGAAATAAGTAAGTTGTATGTTACAATTATCACCCATTAAAAAACTAAACAAAATGTGAAATTGGGAATGATACAAATACAGTTTCTCCTACTTCGACTATTCTTTGTTAAATTTAAGTTTCTGTTGTTGTTTTTTCTGCGTTTTGATTTATATTCTGAATATGAGAAACAGTTTACTAATTTAAATCTAAGGAACAAAACAAAATCTCTATAAAGATGAATAGTAGTAAATTTGAATGAGAAAAGAGACTAATTTAGAGTGTTGAAGTCGTCGGAGAAATAGAGAGACCGTCGTCGTCTTTAATAAAACAAGAAGTAAATAAATTATATATTACAAGAATTGAATAAGTGGACAAAAAATCTTACTGATAAAAAGTGTGATGCTTTTTGGGTTGTCCTAAAGTTTTCAGTGATTTACACAAGTTCCATGGCTCATCGGATTTATCTTTTTTTTTTTTTTTACTTTTAACCAAAATGACTTTGACCGACCTCACGGCTATGATTATTATGTCAATTCAATTTTTTTTGGTTTTCAGTTAATTTTAGACTATAGTGTATGAATATATGTCGAATTGTCAACTATCAAGCAGGTGGCTTTCTCCTCAATTTTACCACAGGTTGTTTTCTTTAAACATTTGAAATAAATTAAATATTCGTAAAATTTTGTAAGAAATTGATTATATATACATTGACAAAAATAAAATAAAATACAGACTTGTTTTAAATGTTTAATTTCCGCCGTTTTGAAACTTTTAATGATTCTCCATGTGGATACGTTTTAAGTGTAACTATTTCACAATCTAACATAGTTTTTGATTCCTTTTACAATATACGCTCATTTGTTCCCCATATCTTAAATCTTTTTGATATTTTTTCTATTGGCCTATTTAAGGAAAACAATAAAATATATTGATGACAAATAGATTTTTATTGGGCCTAGACAGGCAGTCCTATTGACTTATCTAACGAGGATTAATTAACAGAGGCCCATTATTGTTTCCATATTTCGTTATACTCAGAACTTTTGTTTTTTTCTGGGTCATACGTAATTATATTGATGAACTTAATACATTGAAATACCCATTTGACCCATTCGTACTAGGTAGTGTCTCATGCATGGAAAAGTTTATCAAAAGAAATAAAAAATTATACTGGGTGACAAAATAGTATATAAATGGTAGTTTTGATTTGGTAATATTGCATGATTAAGAGACAAATTGTCTGTAGAAATATGTGAAATTAAATCATGAATTGACTAATAATGAATGAGCGTACATCGATGGGGGAATGAGTAGAGAATATTTTTCTTTTAGGATCGATAAGGAGAAACTCATAGAGGTAAATATATAAGTCCGCTGCTTTTTTGCAGGCGCATAAATCAAAATACGAGTATGTATAATAAATAAAGGGATGATAAAATATAAATAACAATCCAAAAGGACCAAGGTCGAGAGAGACCCACACCGTCCCACAAAGTTGACATTTCTTGAATATCGTTGTCTCATTTTTCACACAAAGTGACTTATAGAGTTAGTGTGCTCTGCTTTATCTTATCTCTATAATACATATATGCATACATACATAAACGGATCAACTCTCATTTTCTTCTTTCCTTTTTTATCGTAATTTTAAAAGGGATCTAACATATTGATTTTTATCTTCTTGTTCTAGATACTGATAGAGTGACATGTGCCTCTCTTTTCTTCTTCTTCTTCTTTTTTCCAATGTCAAGTTACATAACATAATAAGTATTCGCTACCATGTCACTATACCACCAACTTGGACAGCCTCATTTTTTATTCAACTCGTCAAGAAATTGATAACCATTTGTTTTTTTCTTAAAGATATATATGTTTACTCTCTCTATGTGTACGAATTCATAGCTGTGGTACCATATATTGAGCATATTATAAATATTAGGATATAATATTCTTTCCCCCAAAATCTAGTTCTTGTCAATTTTTGTGTGTTTTATGGCACCAAAAGTTTAAGGCATTTCCATTAGTTACTACTGCCTCATGTATGGATTATTAAGTCAACATGAAATAAAAGGCTCATCGAAGGTGCCAATATCTATCTTAAAAAATATTAAATTCAAAAATCCATCGAGAAAGCATCTATGTTTAGATCGAAATAAAACCGGCCGGTTTATGCTTAAACACCCGTTGACCCAGTCGACCGAATCATGCTGATGTTCAGTGCTATTTTTAATTAATATCGAATGAATTTTAAATATAAAGATAGTTTAAATACCGAAAACCAAAAAAAAAAAGAAAAAAGAAAAAGAAATTGTTTTATACGTGGACATGTTCATCGAATTGTCCCCGACTTTGGATCATGACTTATCTATCTAGTTTAAGTACATATATTTGTATGTTTTACATTTTGATTTTCATAACATTAATATGTATGTACATGAGCAGGCTGATCATAGATAAATAGATATTGTATAGTATAGAAGCGATGTCTTGGTTTTTAGAAAGAAATAAAAGTATAGACATACATCATTACCTTCAATCTTGATCATGTGACGACACTGATTCTGTTTCTTTATAACTAACAATACCTAAGCCGCTCCAATAATATAAAATCAATAGATACACGTATTTAGTTATTTACATTTAAAATAAAATAAAAAACGAAAGCAGTCGAGTGATTATAATTGTGACAAGCATTTATTAATGTAACTTGTCTTTGCCGTCTCGATTCCATATGTCAAGCTCCTAAATTTGGTTCTGAGTCGAAGACAAACAAAAAGAAAAAGAAATTTGGTTCTGAGTCTGCCATTTCGATTCCATATCGAACTTTTTTTACTTCTTGTATGACGAATAGTTAAATTAAATCCACCCAAATTCTGTAACTTTTTTTATTTTAAATACAGTATATGAGAATAGTCAATTTTAAAATTTTCCTTTTCATACTTTGATCACACTTTTAAGTTTTAACGTTCTTAATTAATTAATGATGATCTATTTTTCGCCACTACAAAGATGCTTTTTGGTTCTAGGTAAAACAGTAATTTGTCGACTAATTTGACTAATTTACTCGTTTAGTTCTTAATTAGAATTCAACCTTTTTTTCTTGTGTCACCAACCCAATATTATTAACTTCTGGCCATCATTACTCGTTAATCCTCAGTTGACTACATTAATTTTCTCAAAAAAAAATTGTGTTATTATTTCAGTCACAAAAAAAAAATTACAGCTTTATATTTGGAATACTGTTAATAGTTATTTTTAGGAAGTATGTGTGACAAATGTAAAACATACCCCCTAAGTTTTTTAATAGATGATCTTTTGGATTTATTTTATTTTTTCTAAATTAATTAGATTTTTATTGGTTTCAACATTTTATATTCTACATATTGTTTTTTATAAAAGTAAGTAAAAATTAAATAATTTATTATTTGTGTTCAATTTGCTCAAAAAAATTATCTCGAGGGAGTATAATTTTATGAAAGATATAGGTTTTCTTAATTAGAAAAAAGTCTCACACTTCACATACTTTAGTATAATGTGTTACTGTATACATACATTTGTAATATTATAAAAGGTGCCACTCGATGGAGTTTCTCTTCAAATATTATATATTATAGTTAATTGCGTTGATTTTTTCTTACTTATTGCTATTTTTTCGTCACAACATAATTATTGCTAATTATATCTTACTTAAAAATAACCCATTGGTTACATTTTTTTATTGAAGCAAATGACAACCAGATAGGAAATTTTTAAATACCACCATTGTAATTATTATGAGAAGTTGAATAAGAAAATAGGAGCGTCTCATGATGGACTTTTTTTTTTAATACTAATGTATTATATCTCTTTATAAACAAAACTCCCTCTTCTGATTTCTCTCATTCATCTGATCTCCACACAAAAAAAAAAAAAAATGAAAAATTTGACTAACTCTCTCGAACTCACATCTTTAACACTTGAAGACCCATGGCCTGCTTCCTAGCCTTGATTTCATCGAGAAAACCAACAAAAACACAAGAAAGCTAGAATCTAATCTTTTTTTTCTTCTTCTTCTTGATTTCTTCAGATTTTTCGTGAAAAAAAGGTTCTAAAAAAATCATGGGTACGGGAGAAAAAACCTTGAAGAGCTTCCAGTTACATCGCAAACAGACAGTGAAAGCCAAAGATGTTCCAAAAGGTTGCTTAGCGATAAAAGTGGGATCTCAAGGAGAAGAGCAACAGAGATTCATCGTTCCTGTTTCGTATTTTAACCATCCATTGTTCATGCAGCTCCTGAAAGAAGCAGAAGACGAGTATGGATTCGATCAAAAGGGCACCATCACAATTCCTTGCCACGTGGAGGAGTTTCGTTACGTTCAAGCTTTGATTGATGGAGAGAGATCGGTTTATAATGGTAATAACAACCATTATGGCGGCCGTGACCAGTATCATCATCTTGTTGGATGTTTCAGAGCTTGATGAATGATGAATGATATATGATGATGATGATGATAAATTGATGCGTTCAAAGTTTAATATATTTTCTAATGGTTAATCTTGTGGAGTTGTGGAGCCAAAACTGGCCTAACCCATGAAGGAAGTGAATCTTCTTAGTTTTATCGATTTGTAGTTGTATCTTTTCTTTTCTTTTTCCTGTAATTTCATGGAGTTTCAAAAAAAAAAAAAAAGTTATTTGTTTCTGATATTAATTTATTTTATTGCTTTAGCCCATTTTTTGAATGATTGTAGATAAGCACGACGACGATGATCACAAAGAAGCGAAGAAGATGACACATTTAGGAAATTTGCATTTGTTAGACACGTATCTATTAATCGAAAAAAGAACAGAAAAACCATAATATTCCATTTCAAAAAAAATCTATAAGGAAAATACTCTAAAATATCACAAAATGTTTAGGGTCATGAATCTTCTCGTGCCAAGTATTTTTTTGGGAATTTTATAGGCACTGTTTGAAACTGAAAAGCATTAATGTTGTATTCGTTTTTTGAAACAATGTTGTGATATTGGAAAATTTTCTTTTTCTCTTTTTTTTTTCTGTGATTAGATAAAGACCAAAAAAAAAAAGGAAAAAGAAAGGAGAGATTCTCTCAAATTAATAGTATGAAGTAAAAAATATTTCATACAATATTACCTTACAATGTAACGGCTGGTCTTGTGAAGCATTAAATTTCTCATTTGACTATAAAATCGTCTTTTAAACAGCCCTCCTATGGCAGAGATCTAAGCACGTATCTCAGCATTAAAAATCAAATAGATGAAAAGGAGAAGAGAGATAATAGAAACGTTTCTCGTATGAGAAGTTTTCAGATATCCATCAGATACGCTTAGGATATGTGTCATCGCATCTTCCAAATGTTACTTAGAAGGTTTGGTCATGCATTCAGAGTTTTTACTCGTTACTCTCATGTTTTACACATAAAGATCTTTATATACGTTACGTATAAACAAATATATATATATATATACTAAAGTTTTGTAAAGAAGTGCCAGTATATGTATGTAGTATCCATGTTTTCCGTAGACTAAATGGGTACGATCGAACCCACTCATCTCACTATCATTATCATTTGTAATAAATGGTTATGATTCGATTGTCGGCACCAATTTGAGTAACATAAAGCAAAGGCTTAGCTTCTTTTGTGCTATCACTAATTGTTCTTTTGTAACTTTTCATTCCTATTTTTTTTTTAATTTTATTTTTGGTGATTAGGACAGCCTTTGCTTCTTTTTTTTTTTTTTTTTTTTTTTTTTTTTTTTTTTTTTTTTCTTTTTCTCCTTCTTTACCTTTTCTTTTAACCCTTCCAATTAGCCTCACTTTGAACAGACTAATATTTTTATTTATTTAGTAGTAGTAGTAGTTGGCCTTTACAAAGTATAATCCTTTTTTTCTTTTTTTTCAACTTGATGATGATGTAATTTGCTTAAAGAAAAAAATACTGTGAAAAATGGTAAAAGCAATTGACATTATATATTTTCCAGATGAATATTGCATGTAACCATAGATGTTCGTTCATATAATATACTTGCAAATAAATAATAGAAAAATAATGACTGAAGTCCATCTACCTTATGCACATTTTTTTTTTTCATTTTGGTCTTTTCTGTACCTTAAAAATCTTGAATCTCTATAATATGATAAGAAAAGAAAGAAAAAAACAAACGGACGAAAATACCCCTCCCTCACGTCACTCAGAAGTCTATTTTTTTTTTAAAAAACTCTGTTCTGAGGAAGACAAAAAAAGATATATTTTTTAAAAAAAACCTAAAAAATAAGAGAAGGAGGACTAGCGAGGTCTTGCGTGAGCAGCACGAAGAGTAACTCCGTGCAAGAACTTAGTGAACCCTACGTAACTCAGCTTCCCGTCACTGCTTCTTACCCATTCTCTCAAGTGCCCATACGCAGACGCACCCACATTCAACTCCTGTTCCATAACCGATCAGTTTTAAAATTTCGAAACCAAAACCTGTTGTATGAATGAGGAGGGAACTACCATACATACCCTGGCTAGTTCTTCGATTGTGATCACTCGGTTTCCCTCCGTTTCAAAATGCTGGAAACCCGCTGTTGCAATCTCTTCCCAAGCTTCAACAGCTTCTAGCTGATGGATGCTAATCGCTGCTGCACAAAACTCTTCAAAATACATCTTCCTATACGCTAGAGATTCCATCTGCCCATAACAGATGATCATTAGTAACCAAAAGACTCTTTTCGTTTTTATTATCGTAAACAACTATTCTCAGTTCTCACCGTGTGTAGAATTTCCGGAACCCTTGACTCTCTCATAGCGTCTGTTGCGTTTTGCATAAGCGCCTGCGGAGGTTTGAGCTTATTATTAATGCTGTTCATGTTATATAGAAAACTCAAGTCATCGGATGAGACCAAAGGCCTTCTTCCTTCACTTACCATCTTGAAGTTTTCGAGGGAGACACTTCCATCTTTGTTTGGTCCCAAGAGCATGAACTGTGCTCTAAGATAGACAAGCTCGTTCTCAGTCAATGCTTTCGCTAGCGCCTGCATTCGATTATTCAACTTATGACTGCTTCAATGTACTAAATGAAACTTTTAGTAATATATACTTTGGGAACTTTCTACAATTGTGCAAAAAGAAAGGGGATACCTTTAGAGCAGCACGTCTAAGAGGTGTGGCGTGCAAGTAGGCTTTGACCAACTTATAGATCAGAATATCTAAAGGAATCACACGACTATCATCCCGTAACCATGGGTGAGCTGAAAATAAGACATAAAACACATAAGTTTTGTAATGTTCATAAATATATGAACTCCAAGTTGCAGTTCACTGTAACAACTACAAGTGAAAAGAAAAACTCACTCAATGCTTGAACTGCGGACATTCGTTTCCTATAGTCTTTGTTGAGAAGTCGTTTCACAAAGTCTTTCCCTTCTGATGAACAAGAAGGCCAAGGTACGTCATCATAGTTCGGTTCGGTTCTTAGCACAGTGCGAAAGATTCCAGATTCTGTCCGCGCCCAGAATGGCCGGCTTCCACATAAGAGTATATATGTTATAACTCCAATACTCCATATATCAGCCTCAAGACTATATGATCTGTGTAGAACTTCTGGCGCAACATAATAAGCACTTCCAACAATATCATTCAGCCTTTCATCTGTATAGAATAGTTACACAAAATTCCACGATTAGGTAGCCACAAGGGAAGTATAGAGAGAATGCCTGAAGTATGACAATTCTTACCAGGTCTGATGAAGTCTGAGAGACCAAAATCAATAAGCTTCAAGTCTGCCTCTTCACGGCTAGATGTAAATAGAAAATTCTGTTGAACAAGGTAATAGGAGTATTTAGTAAAATGATGTGTACTACCTACTGGAGGTAGATAGGGAAATCTTAAGAAAAGCAAACCTCTGGCTTTAAGTCACGGTGAACAACTCCTTGGAGATGACAAAATGAAACAACAGTTAGAATTTGTACGACAATAGCCTTTGCGTCATCCTCTGGGTATTTTCCACCCCTAAGTCACGAAAATACAATGTTTGAGCATATATATGACTAAGTTCTCAGCATTCAATTTGGGAACATAGGCAGAGAAACACTAGACGTACCTTGCTAAAATTCTGTCCAAAAGTTCTCCACCTTCACACAACCTGGTCATGCAAGCAGAACCAAACATCGAATAAGTAATTGGTTACGAGGTGTATCCAGTTACAAAGATATATTCCAAAAACCGCAGTGCAGACTTGTAGCAATGTGATATGTATGTTTATAAAAAGTAAGTAACAGCTAAAACCCTGACGAAGAAATCACATACAAAAATCTAATATAAATAGGAAACAAGACATACTCCATGACTATGTATACGTTATTGGCGTCCTCACATGCATCATAGTATCTGATTAGATGTTTGTGACCAGATAATGATTTCAGTAACTTCACCTCTCTGCGAACATCTTCAATTGCAATTGCTGTTGTCATCTGCCAAACAAAGAAAGATAATTCAGTCAACAAATCAGTTTTGCTTGTTTGATCAACGAGAAGGATATCACAAAGTGTCACCAAAATGTGTCGGACGAACCTCATTACAAAGATAAGCAAACAGGTAAAGAGACAAATTCATGAGCATTATACTTGAAACATTATGTCCTAATGCAGACAAAAGGAATGTCAGGTTATGGTCTCCCCACCACGCAGCCAGACAGAGACTTCTCTGTCTGCGCTTTCCAAATCATCCTTTTACCAAAGATGGAACAGACAACAAATATCACATGGAAGACCATAACATTCATCCAAATCAACAGCTAAGTAATCAAAACCTAACCCAACTGCGACGACAACAAGCTTCACTACTAGAATCAATAAAATGCTTAAAGAAGACAAGCTCATAAAACATTAGTACATGGAACTACACTTAATTTATTTTTTATGGCCATCCTGTCCTAATGCAGACAAATCAGCAAAAGTTCACATTTTGGTCTACTCGACTCGCACTGCCAGACAAAAGAATTTTCCTCTCAAAAGAGACAACACTGTTTCTCTCAAGAGAATCTGCTGGAAGAAAAAGACAATTCACTGTCCCACAGCCATTATCCAAACCCAAGAATCTTACTTTGAAAAACGAAACAATGCAAGCATTACTCATTGTAGGATTCAAAACCCTCCAATAGATTCTTGTTCAGCGCTAAACAAATCACACTAAATGCTAAAATTCTACTCAAATTCTCATAATAGACCTTAACATAACACCAATGCCGTAATTCCAAAATCAAAACTGGTTATAAAGATTGAGAATTTTAAACCTTAGCCTTGGAAATAATCTTGACAGCAATAGGATGATCCTTAATGTCTCCCTTCTTCCCACGACCAGAACAAGTATGACCAAAGTGCCCTCGACCCACTTCTTTCCCCAATTCATACTTAGCCCCAAAATTCTTGCCATAACCAAAGCTCTTATCAAGAGACTGCTCCGGCTCAGTTCCTCTCTCCTCAGGGATCGGACCTTCCTTAGGCTTCACTCCAAGCCTTTTGATCAACGAAGCCTTAATGTGTTTAGCCGGAGAAGGCGGCGGGAAAGGTCGTCGGAAAAACCTCCTGGGAGTGGAGGTTCTCGCCGGGGAAGGAGAGACGCCAGAAGGAAGAGGACTGGCTGATCCGTGAGGGAAAGGACTAGGCCAAGGACTCGGATTCGAAGACCTAGCAGGAGTGTTCTTAGCTCGCCCGTAATTAACCGGAGTTAAAGGCTGAATCTGATTCCCATCACCGGAGACAACATAAGTAGTCGTATTAGCTTCTTCTTCACCATTCTGCTTACTCTGATTAACCTTCCCGTAACATTGCCCCATCTCCACCACACAGACAGATATCAAAAATTGTACAAGCAAAGAATCACAATTGAAGCAACATAGAGCGAGTAACGGATCCGATCAAAAGGAGGAGAGATCTAAATGGGAGGAAAACGATAAACGAAAGGAATGAGAGAAGAAGAAGAAGAAGAAGCAGAAGCAAAGAGACAGAGACGACAAACAAAGGTAAGAAGAAGTGTTAAAAGAGACAAAAGAGAAACCAAAGTGACAGAGAGAACAGGAACGGAACGGAACTGGGACGGTGGTGTTTTTTTACGTAGTAGAATGCTTAACAGCCGTCGGATCAAAATCTGAGATGTTGAGAATGGAAGGTGGAGATCTCGATGCTACGAACCAATTAACTCGTTCTAAGCTATTCAACAACTACCTTCCGCTACTCGGGTCCTAATTATTATTACTTCATTTTGATTAATTAATTATTTTGTTTTTGTCTTTGTGTTTTGTGAATTGGTTTATGCAGTGAGAGGTTGGGAGATTGGATATAGAGTCTGCATTCTATAAACTTTAACTTTTTTTTTAAAAAAATTAGTTTTATAAAACAAAATATAGTTTTGGCGCGTAATTAAGTAACCGTTTTAAACAGTAAACAGAACCGTCTCTAAAGATTTTTAGATCGGAAACAAAAAAAATTTAAGACCTACTGAAAAAGAAAAAAAAAACATCTAAAAATGAAATATGCAGATAATTGGACTAGAATCCAACATCTATCACACTTACATAATGGTCATTACCGTATATTACAATTTTTTTCTAAAATAAAAGTGGTGATTGAATTTATATATATTTTGAAGGTCACAACTCACTAGTACAAGTTCTTAGACGGCTTTGACCGTAATATAGTATGTACTGATGAATTTATTAACTCTGAATATATCACAGTTTGCCGTTTTAACTTGTAATCTAGTTTATCTGTTTAGTATATAACTTAATTTGGACTGGATTTTGATATAAATAAAAATAATTTATTCTAGCATTTGGCAATTATACAAATGTTAAAGATAGTATACATTGGAAATTTGGAATAATATATAGATATGTAAAGACTATTAAATTTAGTTATTTTGACTACCAACTTATGAGTTTGAAAAAATAAACTTTTTGTTTGTCCTTATGTCTTTTTCTTTTCTTATTAGCATATGATAGTACGAGTTCTTTTCTCTTTTAATTGTTTTGTCTTTACTTACTTTTATGGGTTACTTTTTCTGTTTTCTAATCTTTTTCCTAATCTTTTAATTTGTAAGAAGTTTTTAAACATAATTAAAATAAACAAAACAGAGTTTATAGAGAAGAGTGGATTGATCAGTGATACGTGGATTAAAATTATTGGATGTAACGAAGTTTTTTATACAGACGATTCTCACACAAACGTGATATGATTAGAAAGTTTGGAAAAGAAAAAATATGGAGTTCATAATCCTACGTGGCAATATCTCAACCATAGAGTCGAATTTAAAAACGCTTATAAATGTTATTTATTAAAGATTTTAAAGTTTAACGACATTGCGTGATTACAACTTTTTCGGATTTGGAAACAATCTTTATCTTTAGTACATTCTTCTAAAATTATTATTTTCAAAATAATTATCAGTTTTTTAAGGAGAAAGTATCTATTTATTATTTTCAAAATAATTATCAGTTTTTTAAGGAGAAAGTATCTATTTTCTACATTAAAAATTTTAATCAGTAAAAAAATTACGAATCTAATTTTTCAAGATAGCAAAAAAAAACTTATGAGAATCAGTTAAGCTTTCAAGATATCATCAGCTAAAATTAATACAGTATTAGTTCTCTGTGAATGTGTTATTGCTTCTTTTATAATAGAAAAGAAGAAGAAGTTATCGAATATTATTATACTTCACCTCTCCCATTTCTTCTTGATTTATGTGGTTCCTAGCTAAAATTAGTAAATCCAAAAATGAAATTAAAGTTATATCGGTAATTAATTGGTAAAAGCAACGTTTATGAGGAGACTAAACACAAACATTACTATCAAAGTAGGTAAGAGGGAGATTATCTTTGAATTTATTTTGATAGATAAACAAACCTCGAAATAAATTACAACCAAAACTAAACGTTTAGAAGTAATTAACCGCTTGTTTATATCAACAGAAATTAGGAAAATATAGAGTAGTTTACATAATATATTATCCATAACGCCGGAAATATATAATATAGGTTAGAATATTTAAAAAAATTAACATGAAATAATAAGATGTAAATGGGTAATTGAATCTACCTAAATAAGTTGGAAATATCCAATCAGGTCGCATACTACTTTACAAAATACTGAACCGACTTGAAAAGTTAGTCCAACAACATGGCACTTTGATATATTTAAATCGCATATACTGTACACAAAACTGTATTGTGATTTTTGTATTCTACACAAAGTCAAGGCTATTAGGCTAACATACATTTTTTTTCATTACCTTCGATGTCGACAAATATAAGAAAACAGGAGAGAAAGTAAAAATATATACTGTATATCATTAGCGTATGTTTTAAGAACTCTTCGTTTGGATTTATGTCCAATGGTCAACGCTCATTCGTTTTATTTTTTTATTTTTTTCTCAGCAGTTTAAATTAAAGGCTTGTATTGAAGCAACTTGTTGTCTAAAAAACTTATAACGTTGATGTCACCCTAATTGTTTAACTGATATAATATATCTCCCACTGATTAGCCCAAAAGATTTAAGCCCAGCGTGCGTGGTTTACAATGTAAATTTAGTAGTACAAAGGCAAGAATGGGCCTAATGTTAATATGTCAACCCGCTTCTAGGCCTAATGAGCTAAATGAACCGATTTTGAGAAATATGATATTGACCATTCTTAACTATTCCGATAAACACACATGATCGATACTTTTTATAAACACAAAAATTTGAGACCACAATGTTCAATAAGGAAACATATACGCTACAATGGGAATGTATATACATTTAAAGTCGGGTACGCGTATCGGATGATCATCCAACGGAAAATGTACAAAGGTCAACGGAAACATACAATGTAAGAAAAAATAAAATAAAAATCCCATGACTCCATGAGCAATATGACTGATCAGTTGTAGTAGCTGAAGGATTAAATCAAATGAAACATCGAAAAGGGCACTTGTCTCTCTAGACACTATAGTTGGTGCGGGTTTCGGTTAAAGTCGTTGCCACACCACCTAAATCTAGTGACGAAACAATTTAAGAACCCAAAGAGTAACTTTGAAGCTAACATTATTAAACAATCATACGAGTATATATGTGTCAGTATCACTTTCTATAGACATTAACTTAATAATAATGATTACAATCCGTTTTCTATACATATATACATGCGTGTATGTTGCATTGTTTTTTGATTTTTTTTAATATATATCAGTATATCACTCAAAACCCTTATATTATTTTATATTTTTGCTTCTGCAAGAAGCATGCAGTTGAAACATTTGGACCGGCATTTTTTGGAGTTGTTGGATTGTTGGAATCATGTGATAGTTTCAGCAGACGTATATATATTTCATTGTGATTTTCTTATTATATATGGGATGTGTGTGTGGACTAACGATCCGAGACAGTAAAACCATGTATAGAAATAATTTCTCTTACTATCTATAACTTTATAAACTGATATTCATAGAATTCCAAAAAAATATACGGATACATGATGATATAACTATTGAATGACAATATGCTGCTGCAAGTCAATTAGTCTATCTAATGCATCGGCTACTAGGATAAAGTCACTAATTTTGCCAATTTCTTTTTTTCTCTTATTTACACAAGATTCAGTAAAAAGGATTCACAGATGCGTTGTACTGATTTTTAAAAAACAAATGGAGTCTAATTACTTGAAATATACTCTTCAACGTGTACATCCATCCAAATCTGGCCACAATTAATTATTTGTTATATGAGCTTGTTTACTATCTAAGCTTTTGTTTCTTATACTAGATGTTGATCCGCGGTACACCGCGGGATAATTTTTTTTTTTTAAATTTATATTTTTTAAAATTTATAGATGTTAGAGTTTATTTAATAATTATTAAGATTGCATAATATCAATCTTTACTAAATTAGTTTAATTATACATGTTTTATATTAGTGTCGGTTAAAAAAGTAGTAAAATGACCCGTATTGAATTGTGAGATTAATAATATTTTTTTTTTTGTAATATTAAGTCAAACCCATTCCATCTTACAACCCGACCCGTCATATAACTTGTTGGAAGCATATTATAGTATTTCTCGTCTTATACCCCATCATGTCATATAATCGCCAAAAAAAAAAATACATATTTCCCATCTTTCCGTCTTGA